AAAATTTGGGATTTTGGCGATCAATTCTGACCTCTTCTGAAAAAATGGCTGGCGGAGTTTGTTATACTTCTGTTCTACTTTCAAAATCTCCTCACTGGCTTGTTCATTAAGTCTGAAGCAAGTGAAAAGACATGTTGATAATGATGGTATTGGACAAACACAAAAATTGCTGAGACTAGTTACTCTCTCTTGTTAAATTTAGAGTAGTGCTAAGTACCTATTTATAATAACCAAATCACCTAGACTTTAGTAGCTATAAACTCAAGTCGAAACTAAGATGGCAATTTGATCTGTATTACCAATAGGCACTCAATAAATGACAGTTCTTAAAGTACCCAAACAGATATTTTGGTAAGGCTGTGTATTTAATTCATCTACTCTGTTACCAGGCTACCTTCAATTCTGTTTCCCACAGGCAGAGCAAGGGGCAGGGAAGGCTGCTAATCAGGTAACAAAGTTATTAAGGCAAACCACAGCAATACTAATGTTACAATGCTAAACTTTCATAAGTCCATACACTGCAATTCAGATAATTTGTAGCCTTTGAGAAGCAAATCCAATCTTTAAAAGGTCAATGTACTTTCATCAAGAGCTTTTTGGTGACTACAAACATTCCACAAAAAGTAACAATGACTCTTCATATCCCCAACTAAGTTACAATCATCTCCACTTTGCCAATGGATACAGATCTGACCATAGTTTCAATGATCACCAGACTACAAGGTCCATTTCAGAAAAGTTCTCCAAAGTAAATTAAGAAAAACTTTACCTGTCTATTTCATTTTGTACTTCATCAATATGTTCAATTGCTTCTTGCTGTTCTTTTTCTGCAAGAAAAAGATGTATAAGACAATACTAGTTGGAAGATAAACTTAACACTGTCTGATGAGTTATATCAATAAAGTTTATTTTAAAAAAAAACTGCCTACTACTACAAGGCATGCCCTCCACGTGTTCCTGCACATAGCTGCCAAATTATTTAACTGAAAGACTAGTCACAAACCTGCTAGGCTAGAAAAGCACTTTTTAAGTTAAAAGCACTTTTTAACACTACAAGAAAAAGACCAATTGTAGTTTATTATTTATCACAATTTATACCTAAGACCAGCTGTTAACTAGAATAGGAAAGTAACCCATGACAGTAACAAAAATCAGGACACTACCTATATATCAATGGTAGAATCACTTTTAACAGAAATCTGAAAATATCCCTCCGTGTCTATTGACAAGATACCAGACACGCCTACAAAGACAGGCAAGAGGTAAGGGTCGCGGAACTACCCCACCATCGTGAACACTCGACTTCACCTTCTTACAATATGAACCCCAAGATTCGTACCTGACCTTTCTAACCCCTCCTACCCAATTTCAGGCGAGCTGATCTCAGATGCGGCCCCAAATGATTCTGGAGCACACTTACAGGGAACAAGCATGAAGTCACAAAACTACGTGCCACAGAATGGAGTAGGAAAAGGGGGTGAGCTATGGAAAAGAAAAGGTGGCTCTTTTGTCCGATAAAGATTGCAAAACCTACAAGCTAAGTGGGCGTGAAGGGGCCTGATTGCGCGGTTCATTTCCGGTAACCATCCCGGGTTTTGCAGCCCCCCTGCCGAGGAAGCCTTCACAGAAAAGGCGAGATTGTCCTAAGAGCCATTGTAAAGACCCTCCGACACCCTGGTCGCCGCGCCAGCTTTCTCGGCGCGCTGCCGCGACGGGGTAGCCGCCCCACGTGGGGACTAACCGGGGCCGGCCGGAGCATCCTCCCGAGCAGCCCGGGCCCAGTGCGCGGCCGGCCGCGTGCTTCCCCGCGCCCCCACCCCGCCCCAGCTCCAGGCAGAGGGCCGCGCTGGGGCCGGCCTTCGGATGGGGATACGGGGGCGCCGCCCGCGGGCCGGGCACGAAGGGGGAGTCGCGCGGAGGCCCGAGCGCGGGGCCGCGTCCGGCCGCACCATGTGGCGGCGGCGGCGGCTGATGGGAGCGAGGCATCATGGCGGAGCACAATAAAGAGAGGCTTCTCGGGAGGGAGGGAGGGGGAGGAGAGCGAGGGAG